GTGAAAGAGGAGTCAGAAAGGCCCAGTGCCCCTCTAGTCTCGGTCTCCCCACCGCTGGGCTCACAAGTGGGGGTTGTATCTTACTGTTGTTGGGGACTGGGATTGAATTCAGGCCCACATGCGATGCAGCAAGTACTTTCCTGAGCAAGGCATCTTCTCAGCCCCGTATTTTCCATTTTTGTTTCCAGCCTATTTTGTGTGTATTCATTTTTTGTACAGTTTTGTGGTCGAAACAAGTTAATAATATATAAAATGTATTGATCATATCTGCTTCCAGTTCTCTGTCCCACTTGTCCCCAATACTCCTGAACGAACATGTGCCCCTCCCATCCTCCCATCTTCGTCATCTTCCTTTTTGTTTTATAACCCAGTGAATCCAATTCGTGCCCTGCCTGCACATGGGCAACCTACCAATCATCACATCCCAAAGAAAAATGTCTTCTCACCTCCCAGCAGCCACCAACTGCCATTAGAGCTTCAGCTCTCAGCTAGTGGTGGAGCCTCTTGACCCGGCCCCCAATGCTAGAATTATTGATTGGTCTTATGCAGCTAAGCATAGCATCTGTGAGTTTATGATTCAGTGATGATCTGTGTCTAGAAACCAGCATTTTGTTTTCTAAACACTTGAATTTCAGTAGTTTGATTTGTGTTAGGATATAATCTACTTATTTCAGAAGAGACCAATATTTAATTCCCATTCTAGGAGAGAGTATCCTAAGTGTCATTTAAATGACTAAGTTATTAGTCTTACTAGTATTAAGTATGTTAAAGAAATAAGACTTTTTTCGAATAATCTAAGTTAAACTATCATAATTTACAATAAAATAAAAGCCTGGAGTCAGAGCAGTGAGCAGTCTTGACATCTGGAGAAGACTCCCAGAAGTGTTGGATGGATGAGTCCTTCCAGTCCGCTGTGGTCTTCATTCAGTTCTATAGTCAGATTGAAGTGAAGACTGGGACAGTGGCTTTGCACAGCCTGTTTCCCTGCCTAGGGGAGCAGGCACAGAGATTGGTGACTGTGATTTGTGGGTTCTGAGTTCAGAGAATCCCTGGACAGGCTGAAACCTGAGGCTGTGAGCTTCCTTTGTGTCAGATTTGTCCTGTTTAAATTGACAATGTAAGTATTTAGAACCGAAGTAACATTGTGTTTTACATTTATTTCCCTATTTATTGTGTGTGCTTGTGTTTGTGTGTGAGTACACACACCAGTGCAAGTGTGGAAGTCAGATAACAACTTAGGAGAGCTGGGTCTCCCACCATGTGGGCTGAGGTCTGGGGGACCAAACTCAGGGGTCAGTATGCTGGCAAGCACCTTTCCGTGATCTGGTCCCCTGCATGAACTTTATTTTAGAAGTCAGAGTTCTGTTCCTTTCACCTTTTCTTTCATTGCAAATAGTTTTTAAGGAACTGTCTTCTATTCTGTCTACAGGTACACTTTTCCAGACTTGACATTCCCACACTCCTATTTGCTCTTTCAAAGTGTTTTTTTTTTTTTTTTTTTTTTCTCCCCCTTGTATACCCCAGGCTGGTCTGGAACTTACTAACTTGCCTTCCAATCCTCCTGCCTCAGGACTGTTTTATGCCCATTTCAAGTTTATTTTCTTTATCCTCTTTCTTTCTCTCTCTCTCTCTCTCTCTCTCTCTCTCTCTCTCTCTCTCTCTCTCTCTCTCTTTCTTTCTTAGATAGGGTCTGTCTTTCTTGCCTTTACTGTCCTGGAACTTACTCTGTAGATCTGGCTGGCCTTGAACTCACAGAGATGCACCTACCTGGCTTTCCTTTACTTTTCCACCCTTTTTCCTGTTTTTCTTTTTGTAATGCAGATGTTAACACTATTTTTAGGAGTATATGGAAGTATTTTTTTGCCCCAGTATCTTTGCTAGGTTGCCTTTTGGATTTCATATTATCAATGAGCTTGGATTTTTTACAATAGTTTTTCATCCATCTGTGTATTTCTTAGATTTATATTTCTCTTTTCTCTTTTTTTATTTTTTGAAGAGTTGAAGTTTATTTACACTCTTTATAATGATTTTAGATAACAGTTGATGACTTCATCCATTTCATAATGGTCTCTTTTTGTGTTTGAATAAAAGTCAGAAAGAAGTACAGCTTACATGGTTGTAGATTGCTGAAAGAAATTCTGAAGCCATTTCTCTGAGCAGCTAATTCAGGTGAGGCTATTTTACACAGAAAGTCCCTAATGTGTAACAGCTGGACCTAAAGCAAGAATGGTGCATATATAGTAAAGACAGCCTTCAAAGTTGATATTTCCCTGTACTAGTGACAGGCTACTTGTGGCTGAAGCTTAGCTTTCTCTTCACAAGTACACAGTACAGTAAGTATATGGTGTTCCTGAGCATGGATGATTGGCATGAATATTGAAATTCATTCATAACTTGTGACATTGAACATCTGCATTCTTTTGTGAGTTAAAGGCAGAAGTTAAGAGTTTCTAGAGGTGAGGGCATTATGTTTTAGGCATTCTGTTTTTATAGATTTAAATGTAGTTTTGGTATGTGCTAGGTTCTAGGCATTGAGGCTGCACTCATTTGCTTTGGAAGTGTGTTATTAATCAGGGTATAGTGAAGTACAGTGTGGGAAACTGGAGATTCTGCTCGTTATTCTCAGACTTTTTCTAGTTCTCCCAATACTGTATTAGTGTTTTCTAAAGAAACAGAATAGATTATGACTCTAGGGACTATCTTAGGTGCACACTGACAAAAACTCCAGATCTGGTGAATTGGCAAGTTGCTGAGGATATTTTTCTCATTTTGGCCAACAAGCTCAGCACCTAGGAAACCTATGTCCATTTCAATTCCACAGGAAAAACCAGTATTTTAGTTCAGAGGTCATACTTGTGTGTGTGTGTGTGTGTGTGTGTGTGTGTGTGTGTGTGTCTATTCAGCTGATTGGATAAAGTCTGTCCATGTTGAGGACAGCTGAGTCATCCACCATGTCTGCCGATGTAAATGTTACCTCAAGCCAAAAATACCCTTAACAGAAAGGTCTGTCCAGGGCACTTGCAGCTAAGCCTGGAGACTTTAGTGTGATTTCCCCAGGACCCATGTCGTAGAAGGAGAAAATGACTCCTGCAAATTGTCCTTTGACCTACATACCACACACCACACACACACACACACTCTCTCTCTCTCTCTCTCTCTCTCTCACACACACACACACACACATACACACACACTCTCATACATACACAAACACACACAGACACACACACTCTCACAACACACATTCTTACACACACACACTCACACACATACACTCTCTCACACACAGACACACACATACATAGGAAGGGGACAGAGAGTGTGTTTCTCTCTTTAAATAAATAATAAAATTTCTTTTAAGAAATGCTTGTCCAGATATATAAGCACCCTATGGCCAATGGCACAGTCATCTTCACACACACAATTAACCATGACTCATACTTGACATTGTTCTAGGTTTATTTACCATATAGTTAAACAGATTGTTTTACTGTAGAAAAAGAAATCTGAAAGACTTTTGTGTCTTTTTAATCCTCAAAAAAAAAAAAAAAAAATCCCCTTAGTATGGCTGTTAGGAAAAAAGATATTGTAAATATCTTGGCTTGTTGTTATGCACTCTAGGGTGAGCAAGCTTTTTCTTCCAAGTAGAGGAATGGATGAATAGGCTGAATCATTTATTATGAATCAAGTGGATTTTTGAGACTATTATACTGTGCTGTTAAAATTTTAGTAAAAGCTAATTGTTTCCATATTCTGTGCCATGAGGTTTTGTTTTGTTTTGTTTTGTTTTGTTTTTAGTGGGGGCTGGGAGTGGATAAGTACATGAAAATGTGTTCAGCAGCGAGAGTGTAAAATCCAGTGTGAAGTTCCACACCTCAGTGTGGCTGTTCTAACTGTATAGATGCTCATTGAGATGTATGGACTTTGGTTGGGTTAGTTTTTATTTGAAACTTTTATTTATTTATTTTTTTCTTTTCAGACAGGGTTTCTCTGTGTAGCAGCTCTGGTTGTCCTAGAACTCATGCTGTAGATCAGGCTAGCATTGAACTCACAGAGATCCTCCTGCCTCTGCCTCCTGAGTTCTGGGATTAAAGGCGTGCCCCACCACAGCTTGGTTCTATTTGAAACTTTTAAATGAAGTTTTAATAAAAAATTTAGCAAAAGATAATTAAAAAAACAAAAATTCTCTTAAGAGATAAATTATATTTCATGTGGCTGGGGTATAGTAGAAATTTTTTTTCTTTTAATCGTTCTTGGTGGGCACATAACAGGATTCATCTGACCCTCCCTGAAGTGAACTCACAGCTAAGGCCTGTGTGTGGAGTCAGAGGTGTCTGACTGCAATACTCTGGGAAACACTGTTAACATTTGAAGACCGATTTGTAAGGAGTAAGGTTTTTCCGCCCATCTCCCATCACCGATTAGCTTTCTGGGTGGTTTGTGTGTAAGAGCATGTTTCAGTGATCTAGGTGGGCCTCCTCACTGTGTGGTTTAGCTTTCAGCCTCCCTCCACACCTGTACATCCTGAATGCTGGGATTATAATTGTGTGTTACCATATTCGGCTAGATAGGATTCGTTTATTTTTATATTCTACTTTTTTGAGATGTATTCCTGGTTGTCCTAGAACTCGCTATGTAGATTAAGCTGGCTTCGAACTCAGAGATCTGTAAAATCTGCCTGCCTCTGCCTCTTTTGAGTACTTGGATTAAAGGCATGTGCTATCATGCCAAGCCTTGGATTATGATTTTAAATCATGTAGCAGTCCACCTTTAAACGTTCAGTAACTAGAAGCAATAAACAGCTCTGTGATCAGAAGGCACAGTAGCCATCCTTGTGATATGTAGTTTATCTGATGAGTTTTGATCTTTTTATTTATTTTTATTTTGGGCAAAAAATAACTTCTTAAATAATATATATATTATTTACCAGGTTAAAAAAAATCCTTTGCCTTCCCACAGATATTTCACATGTGTTCATTTTGTATTTTTTTCCTCTCTAGGCTCGGATTATTCATCATCATGGTTACCTGGTAATGAATCATTGTGGCAGGCCACAACTGTTCCATCTAGCCATCGAAATAACCATATCAGAAGACACAGTATAACTTCTGACAGTGGAGACACAGGCATTGGCACTTCCTGTTCTGACAGTGTGGAAGGTAAGCTGATGTAGAGTAAGGTAAGGTAATGGAGCATGGTATGAACTGAGGTTATTCAAGAGATGATTCTAAAGATCATAAGGTTGTGTTTGTGTCGTTAGCATTCAGTTCTGCTACATATAAAATATCAAATGCTCTGTTTATATTACATTTTCCCCTGCATGCAGATAAGATTTTCATTTTTGTCTGTGTATTTTCAGAGCAGCAGTAAAGCTGATTGAAGAGGAAAATGATTTCCCATATACTCCCTGTCCCCACCCATGTACATGCACCCTTCCCTATTACTGCTGGTCGACCAGGGTAGTGCGTTCGTTATTATTGATGAATCCATATTGCCACTTATTGCTGTATTAGTTACTTTATGCTGCTGTTGTAAGATACCATGACCAAGGCAACTTCTAAGAGTTCCAGAGGGATAGCGTCTGCTAGAACAGTGGTTGATAGCTCACATCTTGAGCCTTAAATAGGCAGAGAGTACACTGGAAAGGATGAGAATCTTTTGAAACCTCCAGCCTACTCCCAGTGACTCTCCTCCTCTATAGTCCTTTCCAAACATTTCTATGGACCAAGTGCTCAAACATACAGACCTATGGGGCCATTCTCATTGGAATGCATCACAACCACATGCTGGTAATTAATCTTCACTGTCAGTTTGAGAGGATTTTTGAGTTACATAGGATCACACCTCTGAGGGGAGATCTTCCAGGGCTTTTTCAGTAGAGTTTAACTGAGGAAGGAAGAGGTAGGTCCTGGAAAATGAATGACAGACGAGGGCGTGGCATTTCTCTTTTTCTGCTTTCTCATCTGCCCTGGGTACCCCACAACCACAGCTGTGAGCCACTTACGCTATCATGCTTCTCTGCTGTTCTGGTTAATTTGAAAGTCAGCTTGTCACAACTAGTACCTCCTGCAAAGAGAGTTTCAGTTGAGCTAATTGTCTTTATCATGTGGGTTGTTTTTGAGGGATTAATTTGTTAATTGCTGTAGGAAAACCTAGCCCACTGTGCGTGATACCATTCCCTGGTATGCCAGATCCTTTGGAACTAGAGTTAGAATGATTATGAGCTGCTGTGTAGAGGGCGGGAACTGAACCCTGGGTCATCTGGAAGAGCGGGAAATGCAGTATGTTATATACTTTGTTACTTCATCCTTGCACCTTAGGGTTACGTATAGTGTATTTATTTAACTATTTCCTTTTTGCTACCTGACTTAATTAGATATTGTTCTTGCTATTGAAAGAAATGGAATATTGGTTTCTTATTCTCAATTGGATGACTGGATGGCCTCTTTTGATACCCAAGGGATAGAGGAGAGCACTTTATTGCTGGTTGGGTAGGTGTGGAATTAAATTTAGGTTTCCCTTGGTAACATCACTCATCCCAGTGTGGATTACTTCCTACTGTGTGTGTGTGTGTGTGTGTGTGTGTGTGTGTGTGTGTGTGTGTGTGTTTAGGGGGCATATATCCACATGTTTCTGTGCTGGCTGGTTAGTGAAAAGGAGTTACCATGCAGACCTTTTCTGTCTTCTTGGTGTATTTTTTGCTCTGGGGCTAGCAAGAATGAGTTTTGTGGGCATTCTTTTGGACAGTTCCTATTGGTCATTTTAAATTTCTGGCTTTGCTGTCAGTTTTGTGAGGCAAAAAGAAAACTTAAAGAATGCCCTATTTCCTTGTTCCCTCTTTCAAAAGTCCTTGGATGGTCTGCCTTCTTCCTCTAAGCTTTTCGGTCTCGTATTTGTTTTATATGTAAAGTTCAATACTTTTTGTTGTATTTAGATAGCAGTATTGGGAAAATGACTTTTCTCTGTTTCCACTGCTTTTTTGATAAATCATGTTTAAATATTTCCAGCTTTTGTAACTTGGATATCAGTCTTTGATTTCATTGTCAGTTTGCATAAGAATACTTCTAACTTTTAAACTTTGGTATACTTATTAAAGTTAGAAAATAAAAGAGATACAAAGTAAAATTTTTAAACAAAACTGATAATGTTAACACTTAGAGAGCTCCTACAAATATAGCTAATGCCTACAAGTTTGTATTAATATATACAATTATTTATGTATTTAGTACTTTATTTAACACAGGTAAAAAAAATATAAGAAATCTATTCAATGAATTGCAGATGACCATAGTATTGAAAAGGTGATCAGATTTAGTCATAGTATAATGAATGTCAGATGAGTTGTCAATTCTCACCAATGAAACTGACCCTACTTTCTCCAAAATACACAGTGATAGCCAGATCTGAGCAAAGTTGAAAATGTTACTTCTTAAGAGGGGCAGCTTGGCAGTGATAGTATCTGTATTGCTGTTGCTATAGTCTAAGCACAGTAGTTACTGTTCTTCCCATCTTTCAGACAGACAGACAGACAGACAGAGAGCGACAAGGGGTTATGTAACTTACCAGTAAGTAAGCGAGGCTAGGGGTGTAGTAGCAAAGTGCTTAGGAATCATGTACAATTCAATCTTTAGTACCACAACCAAACTGAAATAAAAAACAAAAGAACCCACCAGAAAAAAAATCATAGGTAACATATACATATTCTCATTCAGCATAAGCTTATATAGGTGAAACTATATAATATATACAAGAATATTTACTGTAGCACTGAAAAGTGTGAAACAACTTTTAAGAGTCTATACAAAAATGGAAAATGGTTAAATATTTCACTAAGTATCTATTTAATTATGTGTGTATGCATACACACATATTCCTATATATTTCTCTATCTTACAAGAAGAAATTCAAGCAAGTGTTCAGGTTAAGGTGACAGATTATTTATTTCCCTGAAACTCTGGTGAAGATAATATGAAGATAATAAAAAGAAAATGTTATTAATCTAAGGGAATTATTATTATCAGATTAGTAACTTTGGCAATTTTATCTGGTGTGGTGGACCAAATTTATAATCCCAATACTTGGGAGACAGAGGCAGGCAGACATCTGTGAGTTCCAGGCCAGCCAGGACTACATTGTGAACCTTGCCCCCCCCCCCCTGTTAAAATTGTTAGCAGGTCCTAAGTAACTAGAGCCTAAATTAACATCAAAAAATCTAGATGACCCTAAGGATCTTCAGAAAGTCTTGCATGCTGCAGTTCAGGTGAACTCCCCATCTAGAGTCTATTCCTGGGATGCAAATCAGAAGGGAAGGTTAACCTTTATCTCCTTGAAGATTTGGAAAACCCTTTCCTCTGAAGGCCTTAGGCAAAAGGCATGGCTTTTTCTGGCAACCCTTTGCATCCTTTTCTGATATTTGTCTCCTTCATCCCCTTTGTCTTCAGATGTTTCTTTTTCTTTTCCTTATAAGGAAAATGTTTGTAAATAGCAGTCAATGGCATTTGTTTCTACCTAATTCTATATAACTGTTATCCTAATTTTGATTACATCTGCAAAGCTGCAAAGGACTGGTTTTCTTTTCTTCTTTCTTTCTTTCTTTCTTTCTTTCTTTCTTTTCTTTTTTCTTTCTTTCTTTCTTTCTTTTTTTTTTTTTTTTTTTTTTTTTTTTTTTTTTTGAAGTTTTTCTGTGTAGCTCTGTAGACCAGGCTGGCCTCAAACTCACTGAGATTTGCCTGCTGCCTCCCCAGTGCTGGGATTAATGGTGGGCACCACCACCCAGCTAGGACTGATTATGAAATGAACTCATATCATATTTATGGGTGTGTGTGGGGAGAGAGAGAGAGAGAGAGGGAGAGAGAGGGAGAGAGAGAGAGAGCAATTCTAATGTATCTTAAGTGTAACACGTTAATGGACACAGTTCACTGTAACATTCTATGCAGTTGTGAGTTAAATGAACAGGCATAAAATGCTGCAGAGTAGGTGGAACTAAACTGAATTTAAAAATGAAGCAGAGGAACTGTGCTTTTGTTATTTGTTCTTGTTTATTGTGATGATGTGGTGATGATAGTAGATGGGGGATTTAAAAGTTGCAGACTGTATGCTCTGTTTTCTTAGGGTTGTTTTACACTTTTGCCTTAAGCAACTCGTTCTCTTCCTGTGTAATGCCTTCTCAGATAATTACTTGAGATCCATGAAAAGTTTTGTAGGTTTTGAAGTTTTGACTTGAAAGCTCAATAATTCTATAGTGAATTACTTATGCTCAAAGGCTTATTAATCAGGAAACTCTAGAGCTTCCCATTGGAAGTCTTTCCTTTTTACCCAAGAGATTAAAAGTATCTCCTGTGTATCCCAGGACCTGTGGAGACTGGGGTGCTGTCTTCTGTCTAAATATCTCCATTGAGAAGACTCTAGTTTTCTAATTTCCTGAAGCTCTTATATAATAAGGATTTCCTGCTGTTCTTTAAAGTTTTTTTTTTTAATTTTTATTCTGTGAATAAATTTGAAGCTTTGTGTTAGTAGCAAATCATATTTTTTTTTTTATCACCAAATAATTGCATGAAGCATAAGCTCTGTGATCTTTCAGGGATAGACAGCATGAGTTGCCTTATTTACTCAAACAGGCTGACTGAAGACAGCTTTTTTTGGGGGTGCAGGGTCGGTAAACTTTCATTAGTTTATGCTTTTATCCTCTGTTCTTTGGCAAATGTCCCCTCCAAGTCCAAAGATTGATTTATATACTTTGTTTTTTGTTGTGAGATTTGCTTCTATCTTTTTAGTGTAAAGGGCCTAAAAAATAACTACCATGGAGAATTGCTTAAGTTGCAAATAGTTTTGCAGTAGAATACAGTTTAATAGATTGATGCTTACAGTAAATGTCAGCTATAAAGTGTGCTGTCTGTGGAACTGCTTTATAAAAGTGTCACAAATGTGATGAGTGTGCGTTACACACGCAATCCATGGTTCTGTAAATTGTCATCTATTAACCAGAAGTCTGTATTTTTTATCATTTATAAAATTAATCTATGATTATTTACCTCATTTTTTTTCTTTTTTTGGTACTGGGGGTTGAACCCAGGATCTTGCACAGGATAGACAGTGTTTCACCATTAAGCTATATCCATGGCTAATCTACCCTTGTTAAACATAGACTTCTGAACAGTATAGAGTAACCTCCAGAATATTCAGCTACTTTTTGCTATAGCTCCTATGTGAGAATTCACTACTGTGGCCTATTATAAACAATGTACATTTTGTTTAAGTGTTAGCATATGTAATCTGAACTTATTTAAGAAATTCAAATAAAACATTGTACAAAATATTTTAATAAGCTGTCTTCAGGCTTTTTGTTGGTGATATATCCAAATAATATTATACCATATTTTATAATCCATATATTTAACTTATTATGGGGTTGATTTATTCTAGTCATTATTTTTCTTTGTAAGACAAATAAGGTTTAAGATTATCTATACACTAAATGCCAGTTTCATTTTTGAGTATAGATAAAAGTATATGAAATGGTTTTTAATTTTGATTCTATTGATATTTTGCCTTAAATCTATATATGTAAAGTCAATCAACAAAGAATAAGTTGTGTCAGACAAATTACATGGATTCTGATAGGCAGGTTTCAGGCAGTTCATTTATCTGTGAAAAAAAATAAGACAATAAAAAACCTCTTTGGCTTACTGTACTTAACTAAGTTTAGTGTTGGTTTATTTTTTAAGCATACAGATAGAGTTAAATTTTTGCTTTTGACAATTTCCTGCTGCTAATTTTCTTTGGGGATGATAATTTTATCCAATTAATTTCATTTATCTTAAATAAACAGGTCCAATAAAATGAACTGTTTAATCATATCTTCATTAGTTGGTTTACTAATAACATACCATTTACTTTGTATTTTGAGCTCATTCTGTATATTTGTCTGAGAGGAGTCTCTTGCTAAATTGTCTTCATCTTAGGAAAAAACTAGGGCTCTCAAAGGTAAGGGTTTGTTCGTCATTTATTTGCTTAGCTGTTACTTAGTTCTTCTTGTGTGTTAGACACAGCTAATGTTAGAAACAAAGTAGCTACTTCTCTTAGCTGTATATGTGCCTTCCAGTAGAGAAGACAGCTCATGTTGTAAAATAAGAGAGCAGTCTGGCAAGTGAAGCATGCTGGGAGGTAAGGACATTGGGCAGTGGGAGTGGGAAGTGTATATTCATGTCTTGTGGATCACAGGACTCCTAGGGTGACTTTTAAACAGAGCCCAAGAAGGTGGAAGGTGCTGGCCAGACAGGGTTAGAGAAGAGCAGTCTAGGTGGAGAGACGAGTGTGGACAGTCTTGAGAGTAAGTCAGTCAGTAGTGTAGTGTGTGTGCTAATGGGAAGGGCAGATCACAGAAAAGCTAAGTTGGATGTCAAGGGACTGCTTTCTGTAGCTGGGTAGGAGTTGATGGTAACATTCACAAGAAGAGAGAGACAGAAGAAAATGAGATCATTCAGGAGATAAAAACCATACCTTCTCCTTTATCCTCCTGTGTTTTGGACAAGGTCTCATAATCCCAGGCTTGTCTTGAACACAAAATACAGGCAGGTGTCATCATCAGTGCTTAGGCTTTGAGATATGACAGCATTATTGGTCTTAAACTTGAATTAAAAGGTCTTCTGTAAGCCTGGTGTGGGGGGCATACATCTGAGACATGAAGATTGTGACAGAATGGGCTACATAGAAAATTTAAAATAAGCTTCATCTGTGTAATAGCTAGACCATGTCTTAGAACAAGTCAAACAGAAAACCCACACATTTTTTTTGCAATATAATATAATCATGTGAACTGAAATCCTAAGGTAAAATTCAGCCCTCTTAATTTAGAGTGTTTTCCAGAGGTTGCAGGTTTTCCAGGTGCTGGATCTGACATTGTCCACCTCTCACTCCAAAGCCTTTCTTAACCCTGACTATGCTTAGGAAGAACACAGGGGCAAAAGGCCGGAGTAGTTGAGTGTGGTGCTGTCTAGCTAACATTAGATGGAGAAAAAGCCCACACTTCTAATTTGGGTTCTGGGCTTGGTGTGTGCTTTTTGGATTTTTGAGACAGGGGTTCTCTGTAGCTTTGGAGCCTGTCCTGGAACTTGCTGTAGACCAGTTTGGCCTCGAACTTACAGAGATCCACCTGCCTCTGCCTCCCGAGTGCTCCTGAGTGCTGGGATTAAAGGCGTGTGCCACCAACGCCCAGCTGGTTCTAGGCTTGGTTAAGTTAGATAACCTCTATAGGCCAGTTGTTAAATGTATGGTTGTATAATTTAAATTTAATTTAAATAATTTAAAAATATTTACCGAAAATATACAGATTACTTTTAAATGTTAATTCTAAAAAAGAAGAGATTACTTGTGGTATAAAGATGTTTTCCCCATACATTATAGTATATTGTGATTATGTTATTAGCAAGAAAGTGAAAGAAAAAAACCTATCATGATATGTAAAAATGATTGCCTTGTGGCTAAAGTAAAATACTATTACAAATTTATATTGATTAATAATTAAGACCCTACATTTTAAAACAGAATGTTTTGACTTGAGGTTTTATTTTTAACTAATACTTATGATTTATTATTATCATTTGGATCTAGGATAGAAAGTCTTATGCATTTAATTCCTTCTTGTTCTAGGAGAGTAGATCAGAGATGAGGAGGGGGAGGGGAGGCTCTATGTAAGAGAAGATAGAATCAGTGTGTTCACAGATAAAATTCACAGTTGAGATTTTGTTAAAGATTCAGAAGTGTTATCTTAAATGTAATCCACTTACGTTGCTAGGTTATAGTGATGTCCTTAAACAGTCTCAACATGTCACTAGCTCTACTGTTTCCTTAGTGCTACAAATCCTGCTCTTGTTTGTTAAATGACTGCTTCTCAGCCAGTTTCAGGTTGCACTGATGTAGTTTAGGTGTGTGGACTAGATGATTTGGCAGTAACTTCTATTGAAATTTGTGACTACAATTAGGTAACTTAAAGCACATTAGGAATTACATTGCATTTATCTTATTAGTTTTCCTGGGCAAAATAATATTTTTAAAGGATTTACACAGGAAACATTTTCTAGATGCTTTTCTTGATTCAGAAGTAATAGTAAGTCTCCCCAAGATAGTAGTCAGTGCCCCCAAGATGCTCTTACTGTCAGATATTTGAGGCCTTGCTTATTTATTCATGTGCTGTATGTGCATGTTATGGATGTACATGTGTGTTATATGAACAGCCTTTGAATATTTTAGATTTGACAATGACTGCAGAGACTAGAACTGGTCAGAGAGTTAGGGGCTGCTGAGTACCAAGCCATTAATGGAGCCCTGCATCACCCAGTCAGGGCTCAGGGAACGTTGCGGAAGATGGGTGGAAAGAACACTAGAGCCAGAGGAGTGGGAAAAAACACTTCTTAGAATGACATTACCATTGCACTCTTGATCCCATGGCAGTTAGGATTCCTAGTACAGGACCTGTACAACATTGTGTCTGTGTGGGCAGGAAGAGGAAGAAGGACCCATGAACATCCCATGTCCCATGTCTATGGGTAGATAACGGTAGTTAAGGGGCTAGGTTTTAGGAGCTCCCTGAGGATCTGTGGCCACTTAGTGGTCCATTAGGAGAGAGGAGCATTTTCTTCAGTGTGTATGCTCTGTAAATTATCCCTCTCCCTGGACCCTATATCAACCCCAAGGAAACTCACTGCTTATCAAGAATATACAAATATAAGCACAGCAGCAAATGACTATGGAGGGGATCACTGGGAGCAAATGGGGAACAGAGGAGAGAAAGGAAAGCATGTTGAATTATTTTTGATAACCTTAGAGTGATAATAGTACTAGCAACTGTGTCATTTTAAAGAAGAAACCCAGAAATGCATACTGGGAAGCCACATTCAGACTTTTGCTGTGGCATTTTGCATTTTGCATTTTGCATTATATTTTGTTAATTGAAACTGACATAGCAATCTTTTCTGGTTTCAGATCACTCAACTTCAAGTGGCACACTGTCTTTTAAACCTAGTCGATCGTTGGTTACTCTTCCCACTGCTCATGTGATGCCATCTAACTCCAGTGCTTCAGTTTCCAAACACAGGCAATCTGTAGCATCAGATGGCTCTAAATGGACTACAGGCCTCATGCAGACACTGGGAGACCACACTAGAGGGGAACAGGACTCCTCACTAGACATGAAGGACTGCAGGCCCCTGCGGAAATGGTCATCTTTGTCTAAACTTACTGCCCCGGATAACTGCAACCAGAGTGGCATTGCATACACAGAAGAGTTGAGGAATGATTTGGAAAAGACAGGGAAGGGCAAGAATTTCCCACCCCACTTAAGGACCTTTGGGCCCAGTTGCTTACATGACAGTATGGAGATGCTTAAGCTGGAAGACAAGGAAATTAATAAAAAGCGGTCATCAACTCTGGACTGCAAGTATAAATTTGAGAGCTACAATAAAGAGGACATCAGAGCCGCCTCCTCAGCTCTCAGGAGACAGACCTTAGACATGACTTACAGTGCCTTACCTGAGAGCAAGCCCATTGTGACAGGCTCAGAGGCTTTTGAGTCTCCCAAGTATTTGATGCTTGGCCAGCAGGCAGTCGGTGGAGTTCCCATTCAACCTTCTGTGAGGACTCAGATGTGGCTTACGGAGCAGTTACGGACAAACCCATTGGAAGGCAGAACTACAGAGGATTCTTACAGTTTAGCTCCTTGGCAACAGCCACAAATTGAAGAGTTTCAACAAGGGAGTGAAACGCCAATGCAGGTAAGGCTTAAAACCTAGTGTTTGCTTCCCTCCAGTGGACATTTTGCTTATTGCAGTAAGTATTGGATTGCCTACACCCACAGGTTCTTTTCTCCATCTATAAATTTGACATGCTGTGTTGGTTAGAAAAACAAATACATTTGAGATAAATTAACATGAGAACATTAGACATTGTGCTTAATTTGACATTTGCTTTTATTATTTACTGAGTGCGCATAAAAATAAACCACATTTGGTCTAAAGAAATGTGAAACAAGCTGACATGGTGTAAAAGAAAATTAATTTAGAAAAATAGCTGTTGGATTTTTTTCTGATCCTATCACATTAGGGCCTGAGTTTTTTCTTTTCCTTTATACGTTTTTTAAACTTTCATACAAAATTTTGATTTTATTATGGTATTTTCATACATTGTTTTTCTTGGTCCTCTGCTCCTCCACCCCCAAGTCCAGTTTCCTCCCTTTGGTTCCGTCCCTCTTCCCACAAGACCCATTCTGCTCTCATGTCACATATAATTTGATACTTTTTTATTTTCTCCATATTATCCCTTTGTAGTTTCATAACTGTTGATTCTTACATATACAAAATTAAAATCTAGGTTACAATATGAGAGAAAGCATGTGGTATTTGTTGCTCTGGGTCTGGGGTACTTTGCTTACTATAGTGATTTCAAGTACCATTCATTTTTATGCAGATCTCATGATTTCATTTTTCATAAATGCCCGTATGTACCGCATTTTCTTTCCCATTCACATATTAATGGGAACCCAGACTTCTAGGCTGGGTCCCTTCTAGCTGCTATAAGTGTCAGTGACCATGGGTGTGCACTCATTTCTGTGGTAGGACTGTTAGCAGGGTCTTTTGGGACTTAGTCTAAGGTACTGAGAACCTAGTGTCTGTGATTTGTCACTTATTTCTTTGGGTCTTAGTTTCTTCTATAAAATGAGAGGGTGGAACCCAGTTATTGGTACCATTTTGGTAATTTTTTTTTTTTTTTTTTTTGTATTTAAGCCTATAAGTCAACTGCGATTGTTAATGAATTGACCATCAAGATGTGCTGAATCAGTTGAAAGGAACCTGTGTATGATAATCTGGGATATAGAGAAACAGTGTTACAATCCTGTTAAGTCTGTGGAATAACATACTAATGGGTAAATTTCTTGATTTGGAAAAAAGGGGTTGATATGATGACGTGGTAAAAAAACCTCAGTTTTGAATCTTCCTAGAACACAGTAAAGGGAGAGAGAACACAAATAATGGGACATATCTCTATATTCTTTAAAGCATTGCTTCTCAACCTGTGGATTGTGACTCCTTTGGGGGTTCTAACAACCTTTTCACAGGGGTAGCATAAGATCATCAGAAAATGCAGGTATTTGTATTGATATATAACAGTAGAAAAAATATAGTTATGAAGTAGCAACAAAATAATTTTTTGGTTGGGGTCACCACAGCATGAGGAACTGTATTAAAGGGAGGATGTGAACCATTATGTTAAACCATCCAGAGAGGGTAGCTAGTATAATTCTGAGGACTTTTCCTGTGTGATTGAGGAAAAAACAAAAACAACCCATCTGCCTTTATTTGGATTAGGATAAAGGACTCTGTGCACACTGTTAAACCACTGTCTTGGCTATTTCTTCTGTGTTTTGGTACCCTACCCATAATTCTCCACATAGACTCTGCTTGTGACAAAGTCTGAACTTTGATTGGGGGAGAATGTGGGCCTCTATACCAAGCAACCAGTAGATTCTCTTAAGCTCACAGTGGATCTGCCCCATGGTGGTTAAGTAGCAGATTCTATTGCTAATGTTGCATATTTTCATGTCCCTGGGCTATAGCTGTTTAAAAAGGAACATGAAATTTTGTGCCTATATGAATCATAAAGTGATTTGATCAGTCAAGGTATCGACAACTAATCTTTTAACATGTAAATGGAGGTTTCTCTGGTACTGAAATGAAGATTTTGATTAAATAGCATACTGAGAGACATGATGATGACACTACATAGTTTCATGTCTGTATAATTTAACATATAGTTTCAAGACATTACAATGGCTATTAGCATATAACCAAACCTTTTTATGTGATTGACCATATTCCCATCTTGTCAAAAGTCTCAAAAACAAGGCTAAACAATAACTGGTAGAAAAATCATTATATTATTGAGGCACCCCCCCCCTCTTGTATTTGTTTTTATAAAATCTTGATTTTTTACTTTATTTGGGAAAAGTACCCCTCCAAGACCTTTACAACACAAAACTCTTTATAATTAGAACATTTTATAGCCACTAGCATATAATTGTATAGCAAATGCACTAAAGCCAAATATTCATTTGAATATAGGTGATTCTGATTACATTTTACAGATAAACTTTTTAATCACTGAAAATGTAAAAGGCTATATTAGATGTTTAAAAATTAGTTTGTTTTTAGTTTCATGTAAATTAAGATAATTTACTTCATTGTTCTTCAAAGAATAAGTTCCCATTTATAGAGTGGGATTTTTCTTCCTCACTTTAATGAGGAAATCCTCATAGCATCAGATTGTAATTCTATTAAAGACAATGAAAAAGGACAGGAACTTGTTTTATGGAACTGTAAGTTGATGGCTGATACCCTGATGTTGACGTGGTAGTGAACGGTGCCATGAAAGACATAGGACTTTTTGGTGGTAGTTTCACTCTTCATATAGGTAAAGCCAACTGCAGAACTTTGTATTTTTCTGTAGACAATTACTTGGACCCTTTATTAGCAGTTCTTAACCTATGAGCTGCAATCCCCAACAAATACTGTACCTCCAAAATATTTACATTATGATTTACAGCAGCAGCAAAATTAGTTATGAAGTAGCAATGAAAATAACTTTGGGTTTGGGAGTCACCACGAGAGTAAGTATATTAAAGGGTTGCAGCATTAGGAGGGTTGAGAACCACTGCTTTAGATGATCATGTCATCCATGCTTTACAGATATTGTCTGGCTGTGGGAATCTCAAACCCTCACTGAAGAGAACCCTGTTAACATGGAATTCTCATACTGGTTAATGAATAAAACACTGTTGGCCAATAGGAAAGGAAGATAGGAGGGACTAGGAGACAAGGAGGAAAGAGGAAGTAGGAGAAAGAGAGTCAAGATGGAGAGTCTGGGGAGAGCAGGACCACAGCCGGCTCTCCGGTAAGACCACATGGAAATACATAGATTAACACAAAAGGGTAATAATTAAGTCAGAGCTAGCCGATAAGAAACTAGTACCTGGCCAACAGCATTATATCAAATACAGAGTCTCAATGTGTTATTTGGGGCTGACGCAGCGGCGGGATAAGGCCAGCAGCAGGAGGAAAAACCATACTCCTTACAATGTCATTCATGCTTTACAGATATTGTCTGGCTGTGGGAATCTCAAACCCTCACTGAAGAGAACCCTGTTAACATAGAATTCTTTCTGCTCTTTGTAACTCCTGAGCCCAAATATCTCCTTTTCTACCAGGGATTCAGATAGTTTGATTATCTCAGTTAAGGGCATTCATGTTAGAAACTAAAGTGAATATTGATGCTTTATATCCTCGTACCTTTGTGGAAAGCGTGTCTAATTACACTTTCTCTTCCTTAGTAATTGCTGTATTAGTACCATGTCTTCGCTGGACTTAAAATTAGGGGATTACAAAGTAGGAGTATAAACTGTTTTATATTTTATTCCAACTTAAGTTACTACATTTTGGTGAATATATTTTCCAATGTAATTTCCTGTTCCTACTCTTTATTAGTTAATGAAAGATACTTAAAAATCTAGGAGGGGAGATTTAAAACATATTAAGTAAGAATTATAAAATAATATTGCTAGCTCTATTAAATTTAGTAAAGTAAATGTTTATTCTCTGGGCAATAGAGGAAGACAGCTCAATCTTATTACAGATACTATGCAGAATAAAACTTCATACTTAAGTAAAATAGAAGAATTAGTATTTGGAGAGAGAATTGAATAATGTTTGAAATAATACCATTTCCTGTTTTAGGAAATCTGATTGGAATAGGAGAAACTCTATAAAACCAAGGATATCCATGTCAATCAATGTCCTTCTATTAGTAATTGTCACAGCAACACAGTAAGATATTTTTGCTTGTTGATCACCAAGCCCTAGAGAGAACAGATTTGTGGTTAATTTAACTGTACTTGAATTCCTTTATCCTTGAGAAAAAAATGATAATCTCATCTTTTTCCTATTTGACTCTCATAAGCTTAAAAATAATAGTGTATAGATAAATGACATGATCTTTATTTCAAGGTATTTATTCGGACAGTGTAACTACCAAGTTCTGTGTAATAATATGGTAATAACAATAATAACAGTCATACATGTGAGGACCCAGTGAGCTATTTTGAATAAGAACACTTCATTAAGTGATCACTTTTCTATTTTGCTTAGTTCCTGTAAAAAAAAAAAAAAAATGGAGCTATAAATTGAGCTTCTTAGCAGTTAGCTAGTGTTGGGTGTAGAAAGTGAGCTTTTTTTTTTTTTTTTTTTTTTTTTTTTGCAGTGCTTTTTCAAAATTAAAACTCATACTTCATTGTCAGGGATAACTAGGAAAGATATTTATGGGCCATTTTGAGGAAATTGGCAGCTACATTATGCACACATAGTCATTGTAAAGTTTGTTTACAAGATCCAGTCGATGAATACATTGGCTAACAATTTGCTTCCCTCTTAAACTTGACATTCTAGGCAGGGAGTAGGCTGTATTGTTTCCCTTCTTGATGAGTGCTGGTTTGAAGCTGAGCTGGCATGTTACAGATCTGGAGGTGGTGGCATCACTTCATAGAAGCATTACGATGATGCAGATTAGCAGGAGACATATCAAGATGAGACAGAAATTGATAAACAGATTCTGGAGGTTCTGACGTGCTTGCTGAGGCATTTCAATAGTTGAGGCTCTCCTGATAGCAGAGCGAGTGAGGTATTGCACTTTTTCCATGATGCAATAGCAGGAAGGCAATAGCAGGAAG